TCCTGATTGGCCAAACCCGCCCGTGTAACTTTTAGACCCGGAAATCGGTCCTCTGTACAGAAAAAAATTTTTTACAGTCATGCGGGGGGCGCGAAATGTTTTCTTCTTCCTAGGGGGGCATGACAGAAAATAATTGAGAAGCACTGGGCTAAAGGAATAGCAACAGCTGGCAACCAGACTGCTCTGTACACATTCCTGGCTTTCAAAATACATGGCAATGAAAATGTCTCTGCCTCTTTCTATCTCTATCATCTCTCTAGCTAGCTAGCTAGCTATGTCTGTCTCTGTCTCTATCTTTATCTCTCTTGTCATTTAGGCCTTGAAATGGTCTGGTTTTTGTTTTCATTTCAAACCTAAATGACCAGAGATATAGAGAAAGATAGAGATAGAGTTAGAAATAGATAGATAGATAGATAGATAGATAGATAGATAGATAGACAGACAGACAGACAGACAGACAGACAGACAATTAAAGATGTAGTAATTTTGACCATGGAGAACTCTCACTAATGTTTAAGTAAGTAACATTAACAAGAGTTGGAGGAACCTTGGAGATCTTCTAGTCCAACCCCCTGCTCAAGAAGGAGATCCTATACCATTTCAGTCAACTGGCTGTCCAGTCTTTTCTTAAAAACCTCCAGTGATGGAGCACCTATAACTTCCAACTGCAAGCTGTTCCATTGGTTAATCGTTCTCACTGTCAGGAAATTTCTCCTTAGTTCTAGTTGCTTCTCTCCTTAGTTTCCATCCATTGTTTCTTGTCTTGCCTTCTAGTGCTTTGGAGAATAGGTTGACCCCCTCCTCTTCTTTGTTCCAGCCCCTCAAATATAGGGACACTGCTATCATGTCACTCCCTAATCCTTTTCTTGGTTAGACTGGCTACCTTTATCCAATTCCTGCGATCATTCTTTGTATGTTTTAGCTTCGTATGTTTTTGCTTGGATGCTGCCTCTGCCTTAACTTCCCACCTCTGAAATGAGACCATGAATAATTAACAGGGCAGCTACGCTCTGAAGATCTATAATTAAGCCCCAGTTTGTGGCCAAAGGCTAAACCAAGGAAGGAAAGAATGAAGCTGATTTTAGTTCATTTCCATGAAGGCAGGGGGGGGGGGGAGGAGAAGCGAGTAGACAGAGGAGGCAGAGCACTGCGGAGCTATCTGCTGGAAGATCAGTAGAAGGGGGGGATGTTTCAAACCACCGTGGTGCACACAGACACACAAAGCTCTTTAGATGTAGCTTCATGCATTCTCCCCCACCCCCTATCCCTGCATACCCACCCCAGTTTGAGAAAGCAATAAAGGCGACACAAAGATGTACAAAACCATTATCTGAGCTGCGATGTCTCTTAAACATTTAATACAGTGATGGCGAACCTTTTAGAGACCGAATGCCCAAACTGCAATCCAAAACCCACTTATGCATCATCGAGTGCCAGGTGAGTGTGGCCCATTGGGTGGACGTGGCCCATTGGGTGGGTGTGGCCCATTAGGTGGACGTGGCTGCAGTGATAACGGCAGACTCGGTGGGACTAAAAAGTTCAATCAATTAATTCCAACTTTGCAAGATCTTTTTTTTCCAGCGAGGTTGAAATTGGCGGATTGAACCTTTTTTTTTTTTTGCACATGGCGGCGGAGGCCTAAAGCGAAAAGGTTTTAAAAACCCAGCTGAAGGCCTAGGACTGGGGCGATGGCGCGCGTGCCCACAGAGAGGGCTCTGAGTGCCACCTCTGGCACCCGTGCTATAGGTTTGCCACTACTGATTTAACGTATTATGAGAACATAACAGAAGAGAAGTAAACATATAAATATAAATCTTCTTGTTGTTGTACCATATCCGTTATCGGATGTTGGCGATCCTGTTTTTATCAGCAGCCGCACGAAAAAGTGCTGCTGAGTTTTGTCCAAACCGGTCCCTTAGATTTTGAAGCCACGATGTTCTTCTTCTGCCTGGACCTCGTTTGCCTTCAATCTTTCCCTGGAGGATTAAATGGAGTATGCCGTATTTTTCTGGGTGTCGCATCACATGTCCAAAATATTCTAATTTTCGTTTTTTAATTGTTTTGATGATTTCCCTTGGCTTTTCCAGGCGGCTTATCACCTCCTCATTTTTGATCTTGTCAACCCAGCTTATATGTAACAGCCGCCTGTAAATCCACATTTCAGATGCATCTACAGGTGGCCTTCTGTCAGAGACCAACTCTCTACTCCATAGAACAAGATAGAAAAAATATAGCATCTGACAAGCCTGATTTTCAGTCTTAAGCTTATGTCGTGACTGCAGAAGACCTTTTTCATTTTGAAGAATGCTGTTCGAGCTTTTTCTATCCTTGTCTTTACTTCAACAGTCATGTCCCAGCTTTCATGTAAATTAGAACCGAGGTGCGTGATCCTTTCAACTTTTTCTAGTGGTATTCCTTCTGAATTTATTGGTGGTAAATCAACGGGTTGTTTGGTGATGACCATGATCTTGGTTTTTGAGGTGTTAAACTTCAAGCCGTATTTTTCAGATATTTCTGTGACTCTGTTGATGAGGAGCTGAAGGTCTTCATGCTTACTGGCAAGCAGAACTGTATCATCAGCGTATCTTAAGTTGTTGATCCAAACACCGTTTACTTTGATGCCAGCGTCGATGTTCTCCAGTGCCTCATTGAAGATTGACTCAGAGTAGATATTGAACAACAGTGGAGACAGAATACATCCCTGTCTGACCCGTCTTCTTATTTCTGCATCAGCTGAGTATTTTTGGCCTAGTCTCACATTTGCTACCTGATGCCAATACAGATTCTTTATTATTTGGATGTCTTTGTCATCTAGTCCCCCTTGCTTCAGGATTTCTAATAGTTTGCTGGGTCTTATTTTATCAAAAGCTTTTTCGAAATCAATGAAGCACATGTAAACACTGTGATTGACATCTCTACAACGCTGTACAAGAACCTGAATGCTGAACAGCGCATCTCGTATACCAAGATTGTTTCTGAAACCAAATTGTGTGTTACCTAGACGCTCTTCAATTTTGTTGCATATCCTTGTGTGAATTACTCTCAGGAATATTTTCAGGGCATAATAAATATATTTATAAATATAAACGTATATGTCTAAACAGTCCTCAATTTACGACAGTTCGTTTATTGACTGTTCAAAGTTACAACAGCACAGAAAAAGTGGATATGCCCATTTTTTCATACTTAGGACTGTTGCCAGCATCACATGATCAAAATTCCAATGTTTGGCAAACGACTCGCATTTATGACGGTTGCAATGTCCCTGTATCATATCATCCCCTTTTGTCCTCAACTTACGACCACCATAGAACCCCAAATTTCTGTTGCTAGGCAAAACGGTTGTTAAGTAGATTTTACCCCATTTTTACGACCTTTCTTGCCACAGTTGTTAAGTAAGTCGATGCAGCTGTTACGTTAGGAACACGTTAAATGAATCGGGCTTCCCCATTAACTTTGCTCGTCAGGGGGTCACAAAAGGGGGTCACATGATCCCAGGATACTTCAAACAATATAAATACATGCCAGTTGTCACTTTTGATCAGGTGACCACAAGGAGGCTGCAGTGGTCGTAAGTGTGAGAAACGATCCTAAGTCCCTTTTTTCAGCGCTGTTGTAACTTCAGATGGTCACTAAACAAACTGCTGTAAGTTGAGGACCATTTCTATGGCCTGGCCTGATGAAGCCGTATAGCAGAGGCCTTCAAGCTTGGCCCTTTTATGACTTGTGGACTTCAACTTCCAATATCTCAGGGGCTGCCCCAAAGAAGAGGAAGTCAAGCTATTCTCCAAAGCGCCTGAAGGCAGGACAAGAAGCAACGGATGGAAACTAATCAAGGAGAGAAGCAACCTAGAACTAAGGAGAAACTTCCTGACAGTGAGAACAATTAACCAGTGGAACAGCCTGCCTCCAGAAGCAGTAAATGCTCCAACACTGGAAGTTTTTAAGAAGAGACTGGACAGCCATTTGTCTGAAATGGTATAGGGTTTCCTACCTGAGCAGGGGGTTGGACTAGATGACCTCCAAAATCCCTTCCAATTTTATTATTATTACTATTATGCTTATTATTAACTCCCAGAATTCCTTAGCCAGCATGCCTGGCTGAGGAATTCTGGGAGTTGAAGTCCACAAGTCATAAAAGGGCCAAGTTTGGAGACCCCTGCTCCCATCTCTTGATATTTTCTTGCCCGCAACGAGCAACAAGAGATAAAGAGAAGATGGTGAGGTGGCTTACTCAGAGTCAAAACCGTGAGTGCTGCAGCGGCCACATATCCTAGTGAACGGATGCCTGTTGCAAACGCTTTTTAAGAACTTTTTAATGGTTCTTCAAAGGCAGGAAATCCAAAGGCTTCCATCTTCATTTGGCTCCTTTCAATAAGCAAAGAGGGGAAGGGCAAGGAAGCCCTGAAGACGAATGGACCCAGGTAATCTCCCTACCTGTTGTTCTATCGATTTGCTTCTGCAGACGGATGCCGGAGGGGGCTTCCATTTCTTCTCCAGGAATGCAATCCTTCAGAACGTGATTTTATTGCTGCTCTTTCTTTCTTTCTTTCTTTCTTTCTTTCTTTCTTTCTTTCTTTCTTTCTTTCTTCCTTCCTTCCTTCCTTCCTTCCTTCCTTCCTTCCTTCCTTCCTTCCTTTCACTTAGCAACAGAAATATTGGGCTTAGTTGTGGTCGTAACTCAAGGACTACCTGTAATAGAAAAATTAGATGTGAACAGTAACATCATGACAGACATTTCTTGACCTCTGTTTGCTCCCCTCCTCCAACACAACCTGGAATACATTTTTGGCTGTGCCGTTGGAGATCCTTCTGGGCCACAAGTTGCCCATCCTGGTTTATGTCACAAATAACCCCCAAGACGTGATGTCGCTCACTTCCTGTTAACTGTATTTGCTTTCCCCGGAGCAAACTCTGGCTAATATGGCCTTGCAGTTGGCTTCCATACGAGAGGTCGTCTGCCTAACTCTCTTTCTCGATGTCTTGTCTTTCTCCTGCAGAGAAACAGCGAGAGCTGGCTCGGAAGGGGTCCCTGAAAAATGGCACCATGGGGAGCCCGGTTAACCAGCAACCCAAGAAGACTAACGTCATGGCTCGAACAAGGTGGCTGCTTCTTCCTCGTGAGATGCTTTGTGTGCCTACAACAATGTTTCTCAACTTTGGCAGCGTTAAGAGGGATGGACTTCAACTCCCAGAATTTCCCAGTCCACACATTGAATTGTGAAGTCCGCACAGTTCCACCTATATGGACTCCACCGTTCCAACTGTGTGGACTCCACCATTCCAACTGTGTGGACTCCACCTTTCAAATTGTGTGGACTCCACCATTCCACCTGTGTGGACTCCACCTTTCAAATTGTGTGGACTCCACCATTCCACCTGTGTGGACTCCACCTTTCAAATTGTGTGGACTCCACCGTTCAAATTGTGTGGACTCCACCGTTCCATCTGTGTGGACTCCACCATTCAAATTGTGTGGACTCCACCGTTCTACCTGTGTGGACTCCACCGTTCCACCTGTGTGGACTCCACCATTCAAATTGTGTGGACTCCACCGTTCCACCTGTGTGGACTCCACCGTTCCACCTGTGTGGACTCCACCATTCAAATTTTGTGAACTCCACCGTTCCACCTGTGTGGACTCCACCGCTCCACCTGTGTGGACTCCACCGCTCCACCTGTGTGGACTCCACCATTCAAATTGTGTGGACTCCACCGTTTCACCTGTGTGGACTCCACCGCTCCACCTGTGTGGACTCCACCGTTCAAATTGTGTGGACTCCACCGTTCTACCTGTGTGGACTCCACAGTTCCACCTGTGTGGACTCCACCATTCAAATTGTGTAGACTCCACCGTTCCACCTGTGTGGACTCCACCGCTCCACCTGTATGGACTCCACCGTTCAAACTGTGTGGACTCCACTGTTCAAATTGTGTGGACTCCACCGTTGCAAACTGTGTCGACTCCGCCGTTCAAACTGTGTGGACTCCACTGTTCCAACTATGAAGTCTGGGAGTTGAAGTCCACACATTGAACTGTGTGTAAAACAAAATTATTCTCCTTACTTTTGTTTTTCTATTCTATGGTGTTGACCATTAGAGGCAACAGCTGCAGCACAGGAGGGCAAAGCTTTGGGACCTTAACTTGGAAGGCATGGATGCAGATCCTCATTCTGCTGAGAAAATATCATCTATTTAGCCCAGAGGTCTCTCCAACCTTGGCAACTTTTAAGACCTGTGGACTTCACCTCCCAGCATTCCACAGCCAGCTCTGCTCTGCTGGTTGCAGAACGCTAGGAGTTGAAGCCCACGCCTCTTTCAAGCTACCAAGGTTGAGAAACGCTGGTCTATTAGCAGGGCTTTTCAATCTTTTCACCCATTGTGCCACTTTTAGGATATGGCAACATCCGAGTACCACCAGTCGCCTAGCAAGGTGTCAAAAACTTGATGACCCAAAAAAAAAAAGGAAAAAAGTGATAAAGTACAGGTAGTCCTCGACTTACAACAGTTTGCTTAGTGACTGTTCGAAGTTACAATGGCACTGAAAAAAGGGCCCCCCAAGCCACAGCCGAGCAAGACACTTGCCTGCCCCTCCGGCTGCGCTCTTCCTCCTGTCCGAGGTTTTCATTGTTGTGAGCATTTCTGTTGAGGATTGACAGCGGGGGTGGGGTGGGGGGTGTTTGGTTTTTATTCCCCCCACCCATCTGCTGGGTGGTTGCAGCAGGTTTTGGTCACTTCATATGATCCTGGGACACTGTGACCATTATAAATAAATATGAATCAGTTGCCAAGCATCTGAATGTAAATCACAAGAGCCTGGAGATGCTGCAACATTCCAGCTGATCGGCGCTTCTTCTGGGCTCAGCAGAAGCGTCAGGATCAGTGCTGCTTTCCAGCTGATTGGTGCTTCTTAAGGGCTCAGCAGAAGCACCAGGATCAGCGCCAAGCTCCAGGTGGAGCCTGGCACTGATCCTGGCACTTCCGCTGAGCCCTGCAGCTCCAGCCATCTCTCGCTCAGGCTTGTGCAGTGCTGCCACAGGTTCAGCTCATTCCCCTCTCCCGCTATCACTTTTCTAGGATGGTCGCGTACCACCTGCCAGGCGCCAATGTAGCACAGGTGGTACCCGTACCACTGGTTGAAATGCCCTGGTCTATAGAACTTCCACTGGGGCAATCTGGTTTGGGAGAAATCATTGACCCCTAAAGTGGAGCGATGAGATATATCTGCCTATATTTTTAGATTAAAATATAGAACTAAGAACAATAGGGTATGGACTCTGGAGAAGCTTCTGCTCAAAAGACCAGTTTGAAAAACAGCCAATTGGAAAACAGCTCTGGCAGAGTCTCATCACCCGAATTTAATTTACGTCCTTGGTGCTCCCTGAGTTGGACTGTTTTCTTGCAGATGTTTTATGACCCAACTAGGTAACTTCATCAGGGCTAGAAGAGAGTGGGTGTTGTTTTCTTTTTACATACAGGTGGTTTGGATAGAAGGGAATGTTTGTAGCTCGGGGTTGAACTGTGGGGTCCTGTAATAAAAGCACCAAGGACCCCACAGTCCTCCTCCTCCTTCCCTTCCTCCTCTCCACGCATACCCCGTCTAGCACTGATGATGTTACCTAGTTGGGTCATGAAACAGCTGCAAGAAAACAACCAAGCTCAAAGAGCACCAAAGGAGCCTGCATTCTGAATTGTCCTGAGAAAGAAACCAGGATCCAGAGAAACCTCTTTAGGGCGAGACCGGGTTTAGTTTTTTGCTAAATGCAGCTCCATTTTTGCAACCAGTTTTGGAGTGATTATTTGTGCAAATCCACTCGTTCCGCTTCAGTTATTATACATGACACTGGGCAAACCTATGAATATCATTCGTTCCAAATTCATGGTCTCTACAATTCCAACCTGTTTCCGCAAATAAAATTCAGAAGAAGCTAGACTGCTTCTACAAATAATCACATATTATTCATGTTTCTCCCCCCCCCCCGAAGATTATGCAATTTGCCTTGGAAATTAGACTGGGAGGGGGGGTTTGGGTGCTGCTGTCAGCAACACTGCGCCTAGATTTTATTCTGCTTAATTTTTATTTCACAGGTTGTTAGAGCCACCCAATTCAAATAAAGTGACTCTAGGTTCCATTTAACAGAAGCAAAAAACAAAACAGCAACAGCTAATCAAATCAGGTTGAAAGGGAACAACAGCCTGATGTAAAACTGTTGAGTCTGTGACGGCACGAGTCCTATACTCTCTGTAAATAAATACATTTGTTAGACTTCTGTAATCCATTTTGACACACATGCCAGCCTGTTTTCAAGTTCTATTTGTCCCCAGCTGGTGTTTAAGTAGGAAGATGACAGGCAGAAAGTCAAGGACACAGCCCTTCGTAAATTCATTTTACAGGCAGTCCTTGACTTACATCAGTCCACTTAGTGACCATTCAGTTACAATGGCGTTGAAAACTATGACTTGTGACCGATTTTCATAGTTTACGACCAGTGCAGCATCCCCAAGGTCACATGATCAAAATTCAGTCGTTTTGCAGCGTCCTGGCGTCAGGTGGATTCCCTTTTGCAATCTTCTAACAAGCAAAATCAATGGGGAAGCCAAATTCACTTAACCACCAGGTTGCTAACTGATCAACTACAATGCTTCACTTCATTGGGACAAGAGAAGTCGTAAAAGGGGGCAAAACTCACTTAACAGATGTCTCACTTAACCACAGAAACTTTGGGCTCAATTGTGGTCATAAGGCGAGGACTAGCCGTATTACAGCATATGGCAAAGGTGTTCGTAACAAATCGTTACCGGTAGACCTCGAATTAATGACCACAGTAGGGATCCAGAATTTTGATTGCTTAAGCGAGGTGGTCCTTAAGCAAGCCATTTTACGATCTTTTTGCTAAGGTCGTTCAGCGAAATACCGCAGTTGTTGAGCTGGGACTCCCATGTGGGCATTAAGCTGATTTGGATCCCCCACCTCAGTGACTTTGCTTGTCAGAATCCAGCTGGGAAAGTTGCAAAGGAGCCCTTGCCAATAACACGCCAGTTCCTAGGTGACTGAAGTTTGATCAGGTGACCCTGGGGATTCTGTGACAGTCATGCTGTGAGTCCGTGCTAGTCAGTGGACCCAGCAGCTGAGTCTGGGGAATCAGAGAAGGAAAAAGAGGAGGGGCCTGGAGAGCTATCAGAGTCGGAGGAAGGCTCTGATGAGCTCCAGGACTTACAAGCTGATGAAGAGCCTGGCCCCTCCAATCGTGCTCAGGCTTTGAGACCCAGCTGTGCTGGGAAGCTGAGTCAGACTCTGAGGACTCACAGCTGGAAGACATCATAGACGCTCGCAAACACAGACAGGCAACAAGAGCAGGACAGAGGGAGGCAATGGGGTGACTCCAAGGGAGGAGGAAAAGGCATAGAGAAGCGACGCCTTGGGGCTGCATAATAAAAAGGGAAAGTGTGGGCGGTGCTGGTTGCTGAAGGCAACCATTTGCAAAGGACTTAAGTTTCATGGAATTCTGTTTTGTTTGCCTTGCTTGTGAACAATTCTCCGTTTGAATCGTGTTTTGTTTGCCTTTGCTTTTGGGCCATTTTACAGGTCTGTACCTAACTAATAAAAGGGGGTTGTTTTCCCTGCATTTCCAGCCTACTTGTTAAAAGAGGGTTTTGCCCTTGTGAACTAACCAGGACTCACATAGGCTGGGACAGAACAGGTCGTAAGGGGGAGGACCAGTCATATAGCGCTTTTTTTCAGCATCATTGGAACTTCGAATCTTCACTAGCTCTGTCAACATCCGTGCATTTTGTGCTGTACAAGTAGTCGTCGACTTACAATCGTCATTGAGTTCGACATTCCCCTTGCTAAGCAAGGTAGTGGTTAAATAAGTTGTGTCTCACTTTACGACCTTTTCGCCACAGTTGCTGGGTAAAATCATGGCAGATGTTAAGCAAATCATGCGGTCATTAAGCAAGTCTGGCTTCTCCCCCCCTCTTCCCGGCTGAACTTTGCTTGTCAGAAATCGCTGGGAAGGTTACAAATGGCGATCACATGATCCTGGGACAGTGCAACTGTCCTAAGTACACGCCAGTTGCCGAGCCTCTGAATTTTTGATCGCATGATTGTGGGGATGCTGCAACGGTCGTAAATGTGAAAAAACCCATCGTAGGTCACTTTTTTCAGTGCCATGGTAACTTTGAACAGTCACTAAGCAAACTGCTGTAAATCAAGGACTACCTGTAGTAACTGAGAAGCCTTGTCTCTAACACTGTAGTATGAGAAAGCATTTTCCTTATAATAAACAGACTTTTATCTTTGCCTAATCTGAAACCCCGGGTACTGTTTTTTCACCTGCTTTTATTCTTAATTTGAGCTTCTTACGTATCCACGACAGTCCATATAATGTTCCTTTCTTTCATTTCAGGCTGGTTGTTCCTAATAAAGGCTACTCCTCGTTAGATCAAAGTCCTGATGAAAAGCCATTGGTGGCTCTGGACACGGACAGGTAGATATGAAATGACAAAACTAACCTATGAAATTATATTATTTAGAAGATAGACAAATAGAGTTGGAAGAGACCCTGGAGGTCTTCTAGTCCAGCCCCCTATTTGAGCAGGAGACCTTATACCATCCCAGTCAAATGGTTGTCCAATCTCTTTTTGAAAGCCTCCAATGATGGAGCACCCACAACTTCTGAACATCTGATTTGTGGCCAAAGATGAAGTGTGATTGCTCCGTGTGGAATTTTTCGGAATCCTTTTCTGGGGAAGCTCAAGTTTTTCCAGCTTTTGATATGTGCATTCACCTTGCCAGCTAACAAGCCCCAAAGTTAATGTTTGTAAGTTGTAAGATTTGTTTTGTTGAAGTTGTTTCGTTCATAGCTTTCATTTTTCGTAGTTCTTCCACCTCAGAGTGAGTATACCTTTAATATATAACACCACCACTTTCTATATACAATCTTTCTCCCGTCCAGTGTCCTCCAGATGTATCTAGACTGCTGTGTTGAGAAATTTTTTGAGTTTACTCCAAGCTATTTGGTGACATTATGAAGGTACTCACGGCTAAAAGTCACAAGCTTTGATGGTGCTTAAAATGACTGAGAAGAACATAGAACAGAGAATTCTAGCGCTGGAAGGGATCTTGGTGGTCTTCTAGTCCAACCCCCTGCTCAAACAGGAGACCTTAGATCAGACATGTCAAACACAAGGCCCAGTGGCCGGATGCAGCCCACAAAGTGGTTTTATGTGGCCTGTGAAGCCATCCTGGAAACAGTGAGGGAACGGCCCTCACTGCCTTGGCCCTGGCCCAGGCCAGCTGGGAGCCAATGTACAATTTTGTGGTGGCCATCTTGGCACTTGCCCCAGTGAACCATGCCTTGGCACTTGCCCCGGTCCCATCTCCTTCTCCAAGAGACCCTCAGATCTGTCCTACTCCTGCCCAGGCTCCCATAGGCACTCTTGATGTGAATGATGTAGAACTGGCCACGCCCATCTAGTAGGCCACACCCACTGCATCCACACCCACCCAGAAGGCTGCACCCACCCTGGCCACACCCACCCGCCCCCCCCCCAGGGCAACCGCAATGCTGATGCGGCCCTCAGTGAAATTGAATTTGACACCCCTGCCTTAGATGATCACAATCAAACGTTTGTCTAATCTCCTCTTAAAAACCTCCAGTGATGGAGCACCCACAACTTTCCACTCATTAATTAACAAAGTAACAGAATAACAGAGTTGGAAGGGACTTTGGAGATCTTCTAGTCCAACCTCCTGCTCAGGCAGGAAACCCCTATACCATTTTAGACAAACGGTTGTCCAATCTCTTCTTAAAAACTTCCAGTGTTAAGTGTATTCACAACCTCTGAAGACAAGCTGTTCCACTGGTTAATTGTTCTCACTGTCAGGAAATTACTCCTTAGTTCCAGGTAGCTTCTCTCCTGGATTAGTTTCCATCCTTTGTTTCTTGACCTGCCCTCAGATGCTTTGGAGCAGGGTCTTCACACTTGGCGACTTTAAGACTTGTGGACTTCAACTCCCAGAATTCCTCAGCTAGCCCTGGCTGGCTGAGGAATTCTGGGAGTTGGTGTCCACAAGTCTTAACGTTGCCAAGTTTGAAGACCCTTGCTTTGGAGAATAGGTTGACACTCCCTCTTCTCTGTGACTTCCTGGAGATAGAACAGTTACGTTCCTATAGACCAGGGGTAGGCAACCTTGGCTCTTTTATGACTCGTGGACTTCAACTCCCAGAATTCCTGAGCCAGCACGGCTCAGCTTGGAAACCTCTCCCTTTCTCCTCAGCATGGCTGGCTCAGGAATTCTGGGAGTTGAAGTCACGAGTCATAAAAGAGCCCAGGTTGCCTACCCCTGCTATAGACCACAGATCCATCCTGATGGGCCTCATAGTGCTGTCCTCTCCTTGTCTATGAAAATGAACAGCAGTGTGCTACACAACATGCTCTTTTGCTTGCTGGAGATGCCTTTCCCCATTGTGTCTTGCCTTGCTTTGCAGTGATGATGACTTTGACATGTCCAGATATTCCTCCTCGGGATATTCTTCAGCTGAGGTGGGTCCCATTCCGTCCCTTTGTGTCTCACGAAGAATAAACTTGTCTTTCCGTTTGCAAAGTACGAGGAATCTAAAACTATGAACTGGATTTTTAAAGGCAATGAACCTTGGCAGTACAGTAGTGGCCAAAATTGTGGAAACCTTTCAGGAAAAGTGTACCTTTGAGGTTTGATGGCTAATAACACCACTTTTTTCTTTTTGGAGTAGTACCATAAAATTATATATCAATGGAAAGATAATTTAATCAAGAATGTAATGCAACAAAGTTTGTTCAATGATCTGTACTGTATTCTATGAAAAGTTATAGCTAAATAACCAGAAAAAGGAAGCACAACTTGCTTAGGTTGGTATCAGGTAGCTTTCCTTCATCTGATTGTAGCCAATGAGCATGAGGGTTTAGAGAGCCAATCAGGTGTCATCTTGTTTTGGCCATGAGCCAATCAGATCACAGTAGGATTCAGTTATGGATGTCATGTGTTGAAGCTGAGAGGAGGATATTTGTCAGTGTGTTATGTGATGGCTATCAAGTTGGTTGGGTTTTTTTGTGTTCTTTCATTTAGTGAGCTTGTAAAACGTAATAAAATTAAAGTAATGGTGCAAAGAGTTGACTGGTCGCCCAGAAAGCGATGTAAAATAGTATTATTAAGTGAACAAGGCTACAGATATAAAGAAATTAGAAGAAAAATGGCTGGAAACGTAACCAAAGGTGGCATTTCTACTGTACACTTTTCCCAAAAGGTTTCCACAATTTTGGCCACTACTGTCGTTTTCTCGGGCTAAAACTTCTAGATTTACTGATAATACTTCTGAAATGTGGATTCGGATACTGCTTTAGGGAAGACCTGATGTAATTTTCATCACAGATGCAGGGAGAGATAAGAGTTGGCCAAATTCATGATTACATCTCCTCCACAGAGATCTTCAGGGCATCAGACCCTCTGCAAATACATTGGTCCCTCTCAGTCCTTGAAAATGTCCTGGAAAAATGAGATTGGCAATCAAACCAAATCTGAACCAGTCTTTGGCCACCAGGCTTACGTTTTCAATAAGAGGCAGTCCTCAACTTACGACCAATCGAGTGCAAAATTTCCATTGCTAAGCGAGACCATTGTTAAGTGAGTTTTGCCCCATTTTACGACCTTTCTGGCCACAGTTGTTAAGTGAGTCACTGCGGTTAGTAACACGCCTGTTAAGAGAATCCAGCTCCTCCATTGACTTTGCGGGTCAGAAGGTCGCAAAAGGGGATCATGTGACCCTGCAACCGTCATAAAGACAAGTCAGTTGCCAAGCCTCTGGATTTTGATCATGTGACCATGGGGATGCTGCAACGGTGGTAAGTGTGGAAAAAAACGGTCCTAAGTCACTTGTTTCAGTGCCGTTGTAACTTTGAACGGTCACTAAACAAACTACTGTAAGTCGAGGACTGCCTATAGCAGTGGTTCTCAACCTTTTTAATGCCGTGACCCCCAACCGGTCGTAAGTCGAGGACTACCCAACCGGTCATAAGTCGACTTCCCAACCGGTCGTAAGTCGGGGACTTTCCCTGCCCGGGAGCGCTGCGCATGCGTGGTGCCGCCCCCTGTGCCGGCCGAGGCATAGCTGGCAAGTGGCAAAGATGGAGCAGGCCAACCACCCGCTGGGCCACCAGCTGGCCCAGCCCAAGGGAGGTAAGGCACCCGCCGGGCCCCACGTGCGCCAGCAACCCTCCCTGCGCCCGCTGGCCTCCCGCCTCCCACCCCTGGCCCTCTTTTACTTACATTTTTAGTAGTTGCTCAGCAGGGAGGGGTGGAAGCTTCCAGACAGCTCGCCTTCGCTGCAGATAACTTGCAGCACCATTTGCAGACTGGGGCTTTTGGCGGGCTCAGCAGGGCAGAGACAGCCTGGACAATTCCTATTGGCTTTTGAAAGCCAATAGAATTAGACTCTATTCAAGAGAGTCTATTTTATTGGCTTTCAAAAGCCAATAGAATAAAAGGGAGTAGCACAGCTAAGGAAAAGAGGAAAAAAAATGGCAGACTGCATTGTTTGGTGACCCTCGTGAAATGGTCATTCGACCCCAAATGGGGTCGCGACCCACAGGTTGAGAACCGCTGGCCTATAACATCCTGGGAAGAGCTCATATCTTAGGAGTAGATCATAGCTGAGTAGTCGTAGTGTGCAAAACTGCAAATTCAGACTTGATCTTGTTAAACATGACCAGAAAAGCACCTTTGGCTAAGAGTCTCGACCTCTAATAAGTTTTATAGAGGCCTGGCCCAGCTTCGTTGTTTCGAAGACGTCAGGCCAACATTGGGAGCATCATAGATACCACTTTACTTATTTATTTATTAAATCGATAGCCTGCCTGCTTCACTATCCCGAACTACTCCGGGCAGCTTACTTAGGCAGAGGTTAATCCATAAAGCTGATGACTTAAGCTGTTCTTGAGTGATTTGGGTTGCTCGCTCCTGCTATTGCTATTTGGATGGATGGATGGATGGATGGACAGATAGATAAATAATAGATAATGGATGGATGGATGGACGGACTGATAGATAGATAACAGATAATAGCTGGCTGGCTGGCTGGCTGGAGAGAGAGAGATAGATAGATAGATAGATAGATAGATAGATAGATAGATAGATAGATAGATAGATAGATAGATAGATAGATAGATAGATAACAGCTGGATGGAGACATTTTAAAGGGAGACTAGTATAGCTATTTCAAGCTATTTAGCTCTCATCAGCTAGCCATACCCTTCTGAGATTTGAACCTGGGCAGCTATATATATTGGGTGAAGCACCTGGTCTACCAAATATAGGACAAAGCAATCTGCTACTGCATTTCGCTCCAGTCTAGGAACATTTTTTGCAGACAGATGTCACTACTGTGAAAACTGTAAATTCAAAATTTTGTAGCTTTAACTCTTTGTCAGTTACAAAATTTTGAATATATATACATAGATAGGTAGATAGATGGGTGGGGAGGTAGGTAGGTAGACAGACAGACAGACAGACAGACAGACAGACAGACAGACAGACAGACAGACAGACAGACAGACAGATAGATAGATAGATAGATAGATAGATAGATAGATAGTAGCTGGATGGAGGCATATTAAAGGGAGACTAGTATAGCTATTTCGAGCTATTTAGCTCTCATCAGCTAGCCCTACCCTTCTGAGATTTGAACCTGGGCAGCTATATATATTGGGAGAAGCACCTGGTCTACCAAATATAGGACAAAGCAATCTGCTACTGCATTTTGCTCCAGTCTAGGAGCATTTTTTGCAGGCAGATATCACTACTGTGTAAATTCAAAATTTTGTAGCTTTAACTCTTTGTCAGCTACAAATTTTTGAATGTATATACATAGATAGGTAGATAGATGGGTGGGTAGGTAGGTAGGTAGATAGATAGATAGATACAGTAGATAGATAGACAGACTGACAGACAGACAGATGGACAGACAGATAGAATGACAATACAATACAATAACACCGTAATAAACTCACCACAATATGACAACATACAGTTGCCCTGGGATAGATGTTGTAATTCAATATCTAAGGAAGCTAACCCTCTAATTACAAAGACGTCCCTGCTCTCTAATATTCATGTCAGCGCCTACAATTCTGGGCCAGGTGCCTCTCAGGTGCCTCTCAATTGGACCATGGCTGGGTTGACATCCTGTCTCTTTGTCTGCAGCAGATCAACCAGGACTTGAATATCCAACTTCTCAAGGACGGATACCGGTTGGACGAGATCCCGGACGACGAGGACCTTGACCTGATTCCGCCCAAGTCCGTCAACCCCACTTGCATGTGCTGTCAAGCCACCTCTTCCACTGCCTGTCACATCCAGTAACGGGGGACGCCTGGCCAAGCCGAGGGCGACCGGCGCGGCGCGTTCCATTATAACTGTAAAACTTAACAGCCATTGCTTCCTCCTATGGTAGGACGTGCACCTCTTTGTGTTCATAGAGTCAGGAGAAACCAAAAAAAAAAAAAATTAATAATAATATTAACCATTTTGAGATCCTCTTCTCTCTCTTTTCTTTTTTTTTTTGTTTGTTTGTATGAGTTAAAACTGCAGTAAGTGAGAGGTGAGATAACACTGTACAGGAAAAATCCATTTATCTCTTTGGAATTCAGGGCTGGTTTCAAGATTCATGCATAGAGTTCCAAAGACAGGTGGACGGATTGGCTGAGGATGTTGTAGGGCAGGCCTATCCAACCTCGGCAACTTTAAGACTTGTGGACTTCAACTCCCAGAATTCCCCAGCCAGCATGCGCTGGCTGGGGAATTCTGGGAGTTGAAGTCCACAAGTCTTAAAGTTGCCGAGGTTGGAGACCTCTGCTGTAGCTCTACTTGACCAATTTTGTTCCAGGTGCAGGAGAAGGAAAACAGTCTTTGATCAGAAATTAAGGGGACTTTATTTTGGGGGCAGGGGAAGCTGAATAAGAGGGAGAGGAGGAGAGCAAGAACGAAATACCAGATTTTTTTTTTATTTTATTTTTTGCTAAAGAGGAATTGGCCAGGAGGAATTCATACCAAACATGGATTACAGGGAACTAGTAACAGTGTAACACCAAACAGTGGTGGCCACTGAAACATGAAAAAAAAAATGGAATATAGAACCAGGGCTCCCCTCACTCCATAGTCTTACCTACTCACTAAACACAAACCCTAACATAAGTCTACCAACTCCGAGAAGCAGCATTGCTCACAATGTAAATCTTGATTTCTTCAAGACGAGAAGATCTGCATTGGGCTGTTTTTCTCCTGCATTTGCAAAGCAAGAGGTCCTTTAGCTTCTGAGGATCAGGGGTCAAGCTGCTGCCCTAAGCAGATCTTGGCTTGTAGTGCCCACTGGGGTGGGGTGGGGGGTCCTTGGTGCGCTCTGATTGTGGTTGTTTTCTTGCAGACGTTTCATGACCCAGCTAGGTAACGTCATCAGTATTAGTGATGTTATCTAATTTGGGTAATGAAACATCTGCAAGAAAACCACCAAGCTCAGAGAGCACCAAAGACCCTTTATTTCAACCCTGAGCAATCAATATTCTCCTATATCAGTGCCCGCTGGGTTCAAAAACAGGATTGTGGCTACTTACAGAGGCTCCTGATGAGTCCAGAAGGCGACACCCTTTTGTCCCAAGATCCAGCTGGCCAGACCCAGCACCTGCCTCCATTCTGGACCTGGGTCAGTGACAATTCCCCACGGCCAACTCACCACAGTCAACTTGCCGCGGGGCGAGAGTTATACTGTTAAAAAGAAATGGTGGCATAGAGTCATTAAAGGAAGGAACATGACCATGAAACGTGAACGATAACAATTAAAATATTTTTTTAATTCATTTTAAATCATTCAATGGAATTGCTAAATTGTCCTGCGGTGAGTTGGCTGCGGCAGTTCCATCTGGAGCCAGAACAGTTGGGCTTGCCTAAAGACTTCTTGGCCTAAATCCTCTCCTGTTACTGGATGCCAACTAGCATGCTCATGTCCTTGACAGATTGGTGCCCTGTTCGGCCATCGCCATTGCTTGTAAATAGGCTGCTTTTGCAGCGTTTGTATAAAAACTACCGGCCACCTGTAGTAAAGGAGAGAGAAAAAAAAATAACAATAACCAAAACTGATGATTATTCTGCTTTGCTAAACTCAGACTGTGCCAAGCTTTGCAACCTAACAGAGAAAATATTTGAGTATATCTAGAGACAAAACCAATATGGCGGAGTCACTGTCCCTATCCAAGCCTGCTCATCTTCGGGGACTTCTCTGCTCCAAACTGGGTTTTAGGATTTGTCCCCTGGCTCACCAACTCTCCCCTCCTGAGCACAAATTCGGACTGCTATCTTCTCCTGATAGAGTATTTATGTACGTGGGTACTACATATATTCCCATCCTGGTTAGCAGTTCCACCCGTTGTCCGTGGATTAAAGTGATCCTGGGTTTTGGGAAGCAGAGTTTCTTTCATGGTCCTCTTGGAGAAGAGGGAGCTGCAAGAGAAAATGAGATTATTTTGGAAACGTGATACAGGAGATGGCAGGTTTCTTCTGTTGAGTTGATCTTTTGAGTTAAGGACCAGCAAAAACTTCATGGGATGACTAGAACCATGGCAAAGGCTGACACCCTCCCCCCAAAAAATGACCTTATTAGTGATTAATGTAGGCCAGAGAAGTTTCCCTTTAATAATAAAAAAAGACATCCTTAATCCCTTTGAAAAGCTTCTACCTAGAGATTAACTCATCTGTATTTGATTTTCACACATGGTTCCTTCAAACGGATAACAGTGATTTTTTTTTATTTTATTTTTTAAAAAGAATCTTTGCACTGCTTAACGTGATTATGACCTCCTACCTTTGTGTTTCTAGCCAAACGCTTTGTCATATATTTTTTTTCTCCACTAGGATTTGGGGGATTGCAAAAGGACTGTGCTTTGAATTTGACCTTTGTTCGTATTTGGGCCCCCGAGAGATCAGATGGGTAAATATTACGGGCCCGCTCAGCCCCTTCTTTTGACCCGGATGTGCGTTGTGTCAAAACTCTGATGAAAAGATAAATTTTCCTCTTTCGGTCTTCACAAAAGTTCTTGGAGAGAAAGCTCTTTTAGCAAGGTCAGTATGGTAGTACCGTAAATGCCGGCGTACAAGGCGACCCGGCGTATAAGACGACCCCCGTCTTTATAGCCGGGCCGCATTTCTAGAACGTCGTCTTATACGCCGGAAACTACTAGTATTTCCGGCGTGTAAGACGACTCGGCGTATAAGACGACCCCCGTCTTTGGCGCCGATTTCAGTGCTCACGGAAGTCGCCTTATACGCCGGCATTTACTGTATATACATTTTTAAAAAAACATTATTTTTGGCATCTCCTTGCCTTTGTGTCTTTGTGTTTTCTAAGAAAGAGACAGAGTAGAAAAGAGGAAAAATTAGCAAGGCTTTCAAAGGGACTTTTTTTTTCCAAAAGGCAACTGGATTTTCTTGGTTTTCTTGATGTTTTGCTTCTCATCCAAGGAGTTTCTTCAGTTCTGACTGAATGGTAGAGGATGGAAGGATTTATAGTCCTCGCAGTTGTCTAGTCGTTAGCTCTCTCTCTCTCTCTCTCTCTCTCTCTCTCTCTCTCTCTCTCTCTCTCTCTCTCTCTCTCTCTCTCTCTCTCAGTCGTTGAGGCCACTTGGAGATTTATCTGTGCCCTCAGGGTCAGCTGAATCGGAGTGCAAAAGGGTATGGAGCCTTCTCGGAACTGCTGACAGGACACTAAGATGGATCTGCCATTTTTTTCCCTCTTAGGGACATTAACCCAGAAGGAAATGTCCTCATCTGGGGGCTTTAGGCAGTGCAGGAACCTTCCGTTCTCACTTGAGGGACTGCCTTCCTGCTCATGCAGCCGGGTTATGCCCAAAAGCAAGTAAGTTTAGACAGAGTTGGTGGTCCTCCATGCACGCTTTCCTGCCCTCGTTCCCTTCCAGGGAAGGGGCCTATTTGCAGCAAACGTGGAAAGAACCAAAGCCATTCTGGATGCGACCAAGTCCTGCATCTGCTCTGAAAGATCAAGGTCCCTGGGGTAGGGTCTCCTTCCTTGTGGGAGATGCGCAAGCGACCCGGTCAAATTGTACACGTGTCGGGGAAGGGAGGGAGATAGCAGGAAAAGTCAGAGGCCTAACTTACTTCTCCGAAGGAATCTTGGCACCCGTGTCCAAGATTCCTTCCTTGCAAGCTCGGCTGAATTGCACACAGCCCTTGTTCTTCAAGTTCTGTTGTTTCTTATCGGGCCATACCTATTCTGCTGAAAGGTTGGTAACTCTCTTCTCTCTGTCCTCAGCTTATCCTCCTCCTAACCCTTGGAGGCAGCTTAAAACACCCTCCCCCAATAAATCAGCTGCCCCACATTTATCCCAAGAACGTCCCACAGTGCGTCTGCAGGAAATTCAGGAGCTAAAATGGAGGAAGGCACATATTTACCCAAAATGCAGGAGCTAAAATGGAGGAAGGCGTGTATTTACCAACCAAGCATCTTGACAGAATAACAGAGTTGGAAGGGACCCTGGAGGCCTTCTAGTCCAACCCCCTGCTGGAGCAGGAGACCCTGGCCTATCCCGTTTCAGAAACGTGGCTGTCCAATCTCTCCTTAAAAACCTCCAGTGCTGGAGCAGCCACAACTTCTGGAGGATCTATAATAATAATAATAATGATAGTAGTAAAGTTGGAAGGGACCTTGGAGGTCATCTAGTCCAACCCCCTGCTCGGGCAGGAAACCCTACACCATTTCGGACAAATGGCTGTCCAGTCTCTTCTTAAAAGAAGTGTTGGAGCATTTACTGCTTCTGGAGGCAAGCTGTTCCACTGATTAATTGTTCTCACTGTCAGGAAGTTTCTCCTTACTTCTTCTCTGCTTCGGTCTAGAATGATCTCCATTGCTGCAGGGGTTCTTGGCCTATAATTTGTGGGTCCCTCATATTCCTACAGCCATCTCTCCAGCCCCCTCCCTCCTTTGGAGAGAGAGCCAAGTGGCAGAACTTTGCTACACAACTCTTTGCCCCCTTGAAAGCCGTTGCGCCTTCAAATCCTTCCGTCAGGAATTACCGAATGCCAAATAGCAGAGTTGGAAGGGACCTTGGAGGTCTTCTAGTCCAACCCCCTGCTCGAGCAAGAGACCCTATGCCATTTCAGACAAAGGGTGGTCCAATCTCTTCTTGAAAGCCCCCAGTTTTGGAGCATCCAAATTCCTTCAAAAAGTCCGAGTTTTCTTGCTTGTGAGCACCTTATGACCAACCAAGAGATTCAGTAAGTTCTGTCCCATCCTCTCTTTTTATAAATTGATAGATTTGCACCGAGAGGGAAGCAGAGGATCATCCAGCTTCCCAAAACTGCGAGGGAATAATTTTGTCTTCGTTCTTGTTTGGTGGAGGGGCGGGAGACCCCCCCCCTTAGATTTTGCACTGTTCAACCTGCCCCTTCCTCTATCAGTCCCACCCCCTCCAGTAGCTTCATTAACTAGATAAGGGGGTTCAGGACTGCTTCCGTTTGCTTCTTCCTTGGATAGGTCAAATATTCTCTTGTAAACCCCCCCCCACTCTTCTTTTCCTGAAAGTGTGTGCCCTGATGGCCTGGGAGCAAGGGGTCTTCTGCGGAAAACTGTTTCAAGAAACTTAGTTACCTTGTTCACTCTTCCTCTTTTAAGTGTCAGTTTATCAAGGATGTTAGGTCTCAGCCATCTCTTCTCCAGGAGCAAAACCAGAGACCCAAGACCTGTCCTTAAGCCCAAAGCCTTCTCCACCAGCCTCCTCTGTCCTGTGACCAGCTGCCCTATTGGGAGAGGGGTTAGTGAAGCCACCTTATCCACCTGGGATGCTCTCTGAGCTGGGTTGCTTTCTTGCAGACGCTTCATGACCCAAGGAGGTAACATCATCAGTGTTAGAAGGGAGTGGGGTGTGTGGAGTGAAGAAGGAGAAGGAGAAGGAGGAAGACCATGAAGCTCTGGGTACTCTCTGAGCTTGGTTGTTTTCTTGCAGATGTTTCGTGACCCAACTAGGTAATGTCATCAGTGCTAGCGAGTATGGACTTTGTGCTGTTTTTTTTTTTTTTAAATCCCAGAACACATCCTCTCCAACAGTCAATACCCAGATAAGCAGGGATTGCTTCCAGACAAACAACCAAGCAGAAAACAATAGCCTCATCAAGGTACTACTAAGGAGAAAACTATACACCCACCAACACCAACATGTCAAGCCACTACTATATGAACTAAGGTCATTGGTGCTTCTTGAGCTGAGTTGTTTTCCTGCAGACATTTCATTACACATCTAGCTGACATCATCAGTAGTAGAAGGGAGTGGGGTTTGTTCTCTACCCCAAACAAGGAACTATCAATTCGGTCAACAGCCTAACCAAGAAGAAAACAGCACTCCCACCAAAAGGACAGGCCACTAATATATAAAAAGTTAGTAAAGCCCGCTCCCTTCTCACACTGATGATGTTACCTAGTTAGGTAGTGAAATGTCTGCAAGGAAACAAGCTCAGAGAGCACCAAGAACTCCACAATTGTCCTCTTCCCTTCCTCCTCTTCCTCCTCCTCCTCCTCCTCCTCGCACTGATGATGGTATCTAGTTTGGTAATGAAATGTGTGCAAGAAAACCACCAAGTTCAGAGAGCACTAAGGACTCCACAGTTGTCCTCTTCCCTTCTTCCTCCTCCTCCTCCTTCTCTTCCTTGCACTGATGATGCTACCTAGTTTGGTAATGAAATCTGTTGAAGAAAACCACCAAGGTCAGAGAGCACCAAGGACCCTACAGTCGTCACTATCTTCCTCCTCCTCATCCTCCTGAAACTCTACTGGCTTCCAGCACTGATTATATTACCTAGTTTGGTCATGAAACGTCTGCAGGAAAACTACAAAGCTCAGAGCGCAGGCAGGAACCCCCCCCCCCAGTTGCACCTTCAGCTGCAAATGTTCTCTTCCATTGCTACTTCTTACCATGTCTGACTTGTGTGTGCATGAAACAGGCAAAGGAAAGATGTCAGAGTCCCAACAGGGAACCGTCTTTGGTTTGGGGATAACCAACCTGCTCGGGAATCCTTGACGAGACACCAGCCCTATCACTTCCCTCTTAAACTCACTTATAAATTGGGAAGGGGAATCTCCTTGTTCTGGCTAATCCCCCTCCCCTCCTAGTAAGTCGGCTCTTGTTTTCTAGCCAAGCCCAGTCTTAACTCTTTGCTTCCCCGGTCTGAGCAACGTAGCACAGTCCTTTTCCCATCGTGTAGATGACTGCCTTAAACCAATCTGTTGGGTTGTTGGTTTTGTTTTTTTTTAATTATAATTATTATTATTATTATTATAGTTTACTGTCAAGTTTACACATTAATTTATTTTTACAATGTGATTTTTGGAAGACATGTTACATGTATAATGTTTTTTTTTTAACATTTCCATTGCAGTATTTATCATTGTTACTGGTTGTGTGTAGTGTTGACAGAATTAATATTAAAAGGCATACATATGAAACCTACCCAACTGTCTCTGTGTCTGAAAGCCTCCATCTCCGGAAAAGGAAGGGAGAGATTCTGTTTTCTCAGAGCAATAAAAAAACAAAATACTGTAGACATTGACGAGCAAAGGGGAAGGGGTGTGTGTACGTGTGTGTGAATGATAGGGAGGGAGAGAGAGAAAGTGAGAGAGAGAGAGAGAAAGAAAGAAAGAAAGAAAGAAAGAAAGAAAGAAAGAAAGAAAGAAAGAAAGAAAGAAAGAAAGAAAGAAAGAAAGAAAGAAAGAAAGAAAGGAGAAAAAAGGAAGGGGGGAGGGAAAGAAAGAAAGAGGAAGGAAGGAAGGAAAAGAACGAAAGAGAAGGGAAAGGAGGGAGGAAGGGGAGAGAGACAGACCGTAAGTGTGTGAGATTGTGTTGTTCTAGCCTTCCTATGGCAACCAAGTTCTTACATTTCTGGGGCTATTCCTTCTAATTCACCCATCACTTTCTCACCTTCCCTGTTCCTGTGCAATGATTTCAGATGGACTTTGAAGGGGGGGGTTGGACTAGAAGACCTCCAAGGACCCTTCCAGTCCTATGGTTCTATGTAGATAAAAAATGCACAGTAGTAAGTCAAAGACTACCTACACTCCAGGACAAATCCCACACTTGTTAGCCACAACAATCTATATGCAATCAGACTGATAGGGAAACATTCAGATCTAGATGGTTCACAGTTCCTCCACATCCAGATTCAGGAATAATAGATTGGTGGGACCTTCAAAATGGTGGTCTTTTTCATGCCGGGGTGCTCAACGGCTTCCCTGTAGCACTTGAGAAGCGTTTTCTGTTGGAAAATGAAAAGTAGGCAAAAAACGTTTTCAGGGAAGTCACACAAACCGATAGACGTATTTACCTCAGAGGTCTTCACCCTTGGCAACTTTAAGACTTGTGGACTTCAACTCCCAGAATTCCCCAGCCAGCCTTTAAGTTCACAGATTTTAAAGCTTCCTGACAAGGGAATTCTGGGAGCTGAAATCCACACATCTTAAAGCTTCCTGAGGGGAATTCTGGGAGCTGAAATCCACACGTTTCCTGACGGGAATTCTGGGAGCTGAAATCCACACATCTTAAAGCTTCCTGACAGGGGAATTCTGGGAGCTGAAGTCAACACTTCTTAAAGCTTCCTGACAGGAGAATTCTGGGAGCTGAAATCCACACATCTTAAAGCTTCCTGACAGAGGAATTCTGGGAGCTGAAATCCACACATCTTAAAGTTTCCTGACGGGAATTCTGGGAGCTGAAGTCAACACTTCTTAAAGCTTCCTGACGGGAATTCTGGGAGCTGAAATCCACACATCTTAAAGCTTCCTGACAGAGGAATTCTGGGAGCTGAAATCCACACATCTTAAAGCTTCCTGATAGGGGAATTCTGGGAGTTGACGTCCACACATCTACAAGCTGCTGAGGTCGAGAAACGCTACTTTAGAGGAAAAGATTGGAAGACTCACTGGCTTTGAGGCTGCTTCATTGCCTCTATGGTCATCCTCAATTCCTAGAAAGAAACCTACTCTCAATTCCAGTTCCATTTCTTTAAACATTCAGATGGTTGCACATCCAAATGTCCCCAACAAAGCTAAACCTTCAGCAGGATCTCTCTGTACAAAGCCCTGGAAGGCAGAATCACGCAAAATGAAATCTGCAGGTGACATAGACCTCTTCAGCAGTTACCGATGGTGATCACGGATCAACTGGGTCACCCAAGGATAGATGCTCCCTCTGCTGGGATAAGGGGCTTTGCTTGAAGTTTTCATTTTCACCTTAGGCCCATCTTCTACCCAAGAACTTGCTGAGCTCCTGCACATGGCAGAAAGTTCTCTGGCATTTCCAGGGATGTACATGTAGAACCGGGATCTCCAAACTTGGCAACTTTTAAGATTTGAGGACTTAACTCCCAGAATTCCCTAGCTGGCAAGCTTCAAAGATCTGTGGACTTCAACTCTCAGTATTCCCTAGTTACCAAGCTTTGGGAAGTATGGGTTTCATGCTGGTTGAGGACTTCTGGGAGTTGAAGTCCATACATCTTCAAGTTACCTTGCTCTAAAGCCGTGTTTCCCAAACTTGACA